ATTTTTTTTCATGGTTCTGTAATAAAATTTATTTTAATGGTGATGGGTGGAGGTTATATTTTTGTACGAACAAATCTTTTTATTCTTTTTATTTTTTTCATGGTTCTGAAATAAAATTTGTTATTTTAATGGTGATGGGTGGAGGTGTATTTTTTTTGTATGGAAAAAATCTTTTTCACTTTTTTGATTTTTTCATGGTTCTGTAATAAAATTTGTTATTTTAATGGTGATGGGTGGAGGTGTATATTTTTGTACGAACAAATCTTTTTAATTCTTATTTTTTTCATGGTTCTGTAATAAAATTTGTTATTTTAATGGTGATGGGTGGAGGTGTATTTTTTTTTGTATGAAAAAAAAATCTTTTTCACTTTTTTGATTTTTTTCATGGTTCTGTAATAAAATGTATTTTAATGGTGATGGGTGGAGGTGTATATTTTTGTACGAACAAATCTTTTTAATTCTTTTTATTTTTTTCATGGTTCTGAAATAAAATTTGTTATTTTAATGGTGATGGGTGGAGGTGTATTTTTTTTGTATGGAAAAATCTTTTTCACTTTTTTGATTTTTTTCATGGTTCTGTAATAAAATTTGTTACCTAGTCAAACTAATTGGATCAAAAAAGTTACCTTCTTTCTTAGGGCTTCTTTCCCTTTAACTTGTTTTATAAAATCAATGAGAGCACACCACAATTGTGCAATGACCTCACCATATATGGAACTGAACCATTTGTATTTTGGAAGATATCTATACTACAGATTGAATGAAATGATTGAATTTGTTTTATTGAGAAGGGTGTTTTATTTTTTATTACAAATTGGACAATATTACCAGCACTAGGATACTACCAACCCATTTCAATTTGTCTTTGTTTGTTTCATTACGCATCTGTTACCATACTGAATGGTTCATCAATAAATTTGTATGTACATTTAGGTCTCCATTTTTTTAAACTGCGATAATGCAGGTGTTATAATGGTTTGATAAATGGAGAAAAAAGTTTCAGCCTATTTCAAGATAAACTCAAAATGTGATCCTCATTGCATACTTTTTTGGACCAATGTAAGTATGTATCTCTCATACCTGAGAGATCACTGTGGAAGCTAACAATCACTTTAGTAGTTGCCGCTACTAGAATGATAGCTGCAATCTTCCTGGTTCTGTGCCAAGCAGCTTCCACACTGCATACTGAATGCATGGGATCACTCATTCAGTCCTGCAGCCCATTCACAGATGTCACTGTGGCTGCAAGGTGCTTTGCAAGGGGTTGATTTACTAGAACTGGAGAGTGCAAAATCTGTACAATTGTCAATCAGCTTCAGACTTCAGCTTGTTCAATTAAGCTTTGACTTAAAATCTAGAAGCTGATTGGTTCCTATGAAGAGCTGCATCGGATTTTGCACTCTCCAGTTTTAGTAAATCAACCCCCAAGCAACATAGCACCAACAAAATTAAACTGATTGTAAACCCTTACACATACCCAGTGAAGTGACTGGCCTCACATGATGCACAGAAATTAAACAAATCTTCCTACATAAGTAGTACCTGTTTATCTGCAGTCTTCTCCTCCCTATGTCCATTCAAAGTGCTGAATTTATAAAGCTTGTCTGACAGTTCAGAAAATAGGGGGATGGGGAGCTCTGATTACTGATTGGAGGGAAGGGACACACCCCTTTCACACAACTCACAGGAACAGAGCTGAGGTTGTCAATCTGCTGGAGGTCCCTCCCCATCACCATTTCTCTTTTGGTGTCAAGAAAACTTGACAGATGTGATATATGCTGAAGCAGGAGGAATGAGGCAGCAGACAGAAATGACACTTAGTGCTCTGGATTGAGACAGTACACACTATAGAGGGATATGCTTTGTTCATATTTCACGCCTGAGGTTTACAACCACTTTAAAGTGCTTTGCCACATGTTGCACAAAATGTGGTGTGAATGGGCCCTAAATTGTTTAGTGGTGCAGCAGTTGCAAGCAGCAAAAGAATAGGCACATGCAAAAGTGAAAGTGCAGCGCATCTTTCCTAAGGCATTCCTGCATCAACATATTAATAAAAATAATAATCATTTCCCCCCCAAGGTCAAGGAAGAAGGAAGCAAGGAGTAATATGTTTCAAAGCACCCTATTGGTTACTTTATAATACGCACAATCCTGCAGCTATGCCTGATAATATGTAAAATGGTCACTTCCTGGTTCTTTTTTCAGTGTTTCACCAAAAGGGCTTTGGTTAAAAAGCTAGTTGGCTTTTTTCCATACCATTTTCCTATTACTTTCTCTGGTCTTCTTAAGACTTCATGATGAAGAGAAGGGATGAGAAATTCCCATTTGTTTAGTTCCTACTTGACTTATCATGTTTTATTAAACACCTCACTGTGATAAGCAGTGAAAAGTGTTATCCTTGCTCATCACCACCTGATCACTGTTTATTGAATGTACAACTTACTAAGAACAGACACATTCTATCAGTATATCCAAACTGTCAGCTCTCGGGTGATAAAAGGATACAATCCTTAATGAAAGTACAGTAAAATGTTTTTTTTTTTTTAAAAGATAACAATAGCCACAACTTTTCACCTTTGAACATACTAGGAATCATTGCACAACACTACAAAATATCTTCAATAACACTTTATTGTATAATAATGTCATAAACTACAAAAGAACTTAGCAAAACAGAATACTGTATATCATAATAAAAATATACAGTATATGAAATAGTCCACTGTTGATCACATATAGCAGCATGCAGTCACCGCCTCAAGTACGCATCCTGTCTGATGCGTTTCAAGGGCAAATACTCTTCATCAGAGCTACCAGACCAGACTCATGGTGCTTTTTATAGCCCTCCACTTGTTCGACAAAAGGGTTTGCTCACTTGAAAATATACCTGTGCGTATAATCACATAAAACACACTGTTCGCTGATAGCAACAATACCCATAACAAGACTCCCTGCAGTTACTGTATACATCACCAATGTTAGCCAAATGCTATACAATATCATAATGACGTCTGTTAGTAAGCATTTGATACATCCAGATGGTGCCACAGATCATATAACAACTCCACAGCATACTCATCATACATGTATCAATTATGACAGTGGTTTAAAGTTAAATTACATTAATTACCAGGACTAGAGTCTTATTACGCGTGCAACACTTTTTAATATCTCCTGAAGCCACATGCGTGCCTCTTCATTAGAGGTAAACAGTGAGAGTTGCTACGACAAGATAGAGACTGCTATATGTGAACAACAGCCAGCCAGCAATGACAGAAAATATATATTTTGTTTATTTAACAGCCACTGTTTGGATTTTAAGGGACAATTACTATAAGCACGGTGGTCCCTGGGGTATTTAACATGCTTTTTTGCTTTCTGTTGATAGTTCTTCTTTAGAAACCCACTAATTGTAGATCTATATCCTAATGAAGTTCATCTAGTACACTTATGCAGGCCATAGATGGGTCAAAAATCGGCCGAAAAAAAAATCGGCCAATTTTTGCACCGTTAATGGGTTAATTGGTCGACCGTTTTTCTGGATTTTGTCAGATTTTTTTGATCGGTAAAGTTGGAAAAAAATCGGCCGATTTTGCCGATCGGACGATTTTCGCGGCAATGATGGGCAAATCGGCCGATCTTTTTACCGATAAAAAATCTGCGCATGAGCCGTGCCCTGCAAGAAAAAGAAGAAAAAAATAAAAAGAAGAAGAAGAAGCAAAAAGAAGGAGAAGAGAAAAAAGAAGAAGAGGAAGAGAAAGAAGAGGAGGAAGAAGAATAAGAGAAAGAAGAATAAGAGAAAGAAGAAGTAGAAGAGAAAGAAGAAGAAGAGAAAGAAGAATTCCAGTCCGCTATTATATTTGACATTAAAAAGTATTGCAGTGGCAACAATGTATCTATTTGTATCCGAAAAAAACATCTGTATCCGAAATGGATACAAATAGATACAATGTTGCAACCGCAATACTTTTTAATGTCAAATATAATAGCGGGGCTCTGTGCAGGGACAGAAGTACCGTATTTATTCGAGTATAACGCGCAAAATTGTCTACCAAAAAAAGAAATCAAAGTTTGGGTGCGCGTTATAAACGAGGGCTGGGGTGGGGTGACGCAGTGGCGGCCGATCCATTGAGGGCGCAGGCGCTCACTGTACGCGAGGGCGAAGAAAAAAAAAACGTCCCCTGTGCCGGCCCCGCCCCTTTAAGGGGCGGCGAAAACAGGGGATCGTTTTTTTTTTTTTTCTACGTCCCCTCGTCGCGTACAGTGGGCGGCCCGAACTGGCGAGATGCACTGGTGGGGTGACGCAGTGGCGGCCGGTCCATTGAGGGCGCAGGCGCTCACTGTACACGAGGGCGAAGAAAAAAAAAAAACGTCCCCTGTGCCGGGCCCCGCCCCTTTAAGGGGCGGCGAAAACAGGGGATCGTTTTTTTTTTTTTTCTATGTCCCCTCGTCGCGTACAGTGGGCGGCCCGAACTGGCGAGATACACTGGGGGTGAGAATTCTTATCCGCTGTAACATATGGTCGCCTCTTCATTTCCTTTCCTCGCCTTGCCCACACGATACGGTAAGCATTGCTGTTTTGCTGTTTTGCACAATTCAGTGTTCTTCATATTTTTGGTTCTTCAAAAAGTGAAACAAAATTTTTATACCGATTTTTTAATCGAAAATTAGGGGTGCGCATTATACACGTGTGCGCGTTATACTCGAATAAATACGGTAATTAAATGCTGGCCATAGACGGGAAGAAAATCAGCCGATTTTTTTTTTTACTGTTGGTGGTAACGTCGGCCTATTGGACGACCGATTTTTTTTTCATTTTTTTATTAAAAAACCGGCCGGTTTTCTCCCTGTCTATGGCCTGCATTACACTATATTGCCAAAAGTATTAAGACACCCCTTCAAATCATTGGATTCAGGTGTTCTAATGACCTCCATGGCCACAGGTGTATAAAATCAAGCACCTAGGCATGCAGACTGCTTCTACAAATATTTGTGAAAGAATGGGTCGCTCTCGAGAGCTCAGTGAATTCAGGCGTGGTACCGTGATAGGTTGCCACCTGTGCAATAAGTCCATTCGTGAAATTTCCTTGCTACTAAATATTCCACGGTCAACTGTTAGTGGCATTATAACAAAGTGGAAGAAACTGGGAACAACAGCAACTCAGCCACGAAGTAGTAGGCCATGTAAAATGACAGAACGGGGTCAGCGCATGTGCAGAAGTCGCCAGCTGTCTGCAGAGTCAATAGTTAGAGACCTCCAAACTTCATGTGGCCGTCAGATTAACACAACAACAGATGCGTAGAGAGCTTCATGGAATGGGTTTCAATGGCCAAGCAGCTGCATCCAAGCCTTATATTACCAAGTACAATGCAAGGTGTCGGATGCAGTGGTGTAAAGCACGCCGCCACTGGACTCTAGAGGCATAGAGATGTGTTCTCTGGAGTGACGAATCACGCTTCTCTGTCTGGCAATCCGATGGACGTGTCTGGGTTTGGCGGTTGCAGTCCTGACCTCAACCCGATAGAACACCTTCAGGATGAATTACAGCGGAGATTGCCAGCCAGGCCTTCTCAGCCAACATCAGTGCCTGACCTTACCAATGCGCTTCTGGAAGGATGGTCAAACTTCCCATAGACACACTCCTAAACCTTGTGGACAGCCTTCCCAGAAGAGTTGAAGCTGTTACAGCTGTAAGGGTGGACCAACTCAATATTGAACCCTACGGACTAAGACTGGGATGCCATTAATGGACATGTGCGTGTAAAGGCAGGTGTCCCAATACTTTTGGCAATATAGTGTAGATCTGTTCTTTAAATTACACAATGGGGGAAATTTACTAAAACAGGAGAGTGCAAAATCTGGTGCAGCTCTGCATAGAAATCAATCAGCTTCCAGGCATTATTGTCAAAGCTTAATTGAAAAAGCTGAAGTTAAAAGCTGATTGGCTATTATGCACAGCTGCACCAGAGTTTGCACTTTACACTTTACAGCAGGGCTTGAAAAAGCCGCTCGCCAAATGCGAGGAGAAATTCCTCTGTGGTGAGCGGCGTGCACAGATGAAGCATGGAGCGACTGCACCTGCGCTCCAAGCCTCATTTGCAGCCAAGTTCCGGTTTACAACTTCCAATCTCTGGCTTCTGCGGCACCGCCACTGAGGGACAGGTGCAGGAGAGGTCCGCTCTCCTCTGCTTAGAGGAGACACCCTCCCCGCCGCCGCGAGGGACTCGGGGGGGACAGTAAGTACTGTATACAACATGTCCTGTCACTATAATGGAGTACAGGGGAGCTGGGATATACATTACTCAGTAATCCTTCACTGTCAATCAGGGTGGATAAAAATCGATGATTTTTTTAAAAAAAAAATGGATTTTTAAAATTGAAACCGGATTTTTTTTATTTTTATAAAATTTATTTTAATAAAAATTTTTTGGAGTAAAAATCTATCTAAAGATTGTTTTCTATTTAAGATACATTAATAATTTAGTTTATTCAGCATGAAATGGAGCTTAGTTATGTAGCATGAGGCTTTATATTCTGCAATATTTACATTTTTGGTAAACTCTTTAAATGAATCCAAGCTCTGCAAGCTTAGATAACACGCAATGCATTGATCCATTCACACAATTTCACTGTAACCATGAGAAAAAAAACATGAAATAAAAGAATTTGAGTTGTCCTCAAGCTATGTGTGATTAACCTATTAAACTAAAATCGGTTCTGATATCGCTGTTTTACTAACCTGACAGCTTATTATTCTAAAAAGGAAACCTTCATTTGTTTTTGCAAGAATGAGTCGGAGTCGTTACATTTAAAAAGTACCTGTCATTTTAGATCCATCATGCAGCGCCTGTTAGCGGGTATCCACTCCCCTGCTGCCGCCACATCCCTCACCTTGTTGCGTCAGTGCCGCATCACCAGCCATCCCATTAAAGTGAATGGGACTGTCGGTGAGTCAACAGTGGGTCAGAGGAGGAGCCGCTATGGGACAGAGATGACAGTTGCTTTTTAAAAATTATGATTTAAATGGAGCCTTTTCATTATCAACTTGATTTAAATAAAATCCACCCAGCTGTTACTCAAAAGCAAGGCAGACCTAACTAGTCTCTCAGTTCCTTATGTGGTCGGGGATACAGCACTGTCTTAGAAGCTGTCGCATACATGACAGCTTCCCATCACTGATGTGCCCCACTCTGTGCACTGTGTACACCAGTTCAGAGCTGGTCTTATTTACTTGCAGGTTCCCAATCTGCAAACTGGCAGTAATTCTTTGAGAATTTAGAGTCAGGTTCTTCAAGTGCTGGTAGTAAGAACAACCTGAATTTGTTTTATGTGTCATTTATGGAAACTGCTGCAAATGCTTGCCTGAATTAGGTTTTAAAGAGAATCTCCAGAAAAGTGTTTTTAATGCTTTACTGAATTCAGCTGTATAATATTTCTTTTGACCAAATCATTAGTAAAAGCTACAGTCTCAGCAAAGGAGCAAGAAACAAAACTCCTCAATTTCCAGCTACTAACTATTGTCATTTTATAGCTGCCTAAACAGTGCTTTCTCATAACAATATGTCTTCCTCTGCCCTTTAAGACAGGAAAAAAAAAATACACTTGATAAAACAGCCACTGAATATAGCAGAGTTCTATTTCTTGCTTCAGTACATGATCCAACTGCTGCACATCAGATGGCGGCAGTGTACACACAAACATCAGCAGTGAAAGCACAGCAGAATAAGTTGAAGTGCGGAAACATGTATAATACAGGCTAACTGCTAAATAAATAAATTGCTGATACTTGATTGGTTACTGTGGTGTCCAGTAAGCTACTAGGTCTTTTAAATAATGCTCTCAGAGTGTTTGCAAGTGGAAAATGGCACATTGACATATATTATATGTACAGCTGCAAACACGCTATGTTCCATGAAGATGCCATAAAGATCATACTATTCTGATTTCTCATGCATGCCGCACATCGCTCAAATTACTTTAGAATGCGTGAGAATGTACAATGTGACACTGACACTTGGAAGTCCAAGAACAAAGGTACTGTGACCAAAACAGTACCACACTGACACTTTATATTAAACTATAAATAAGAGGCAACCTATCTCCTAATATTATTTTCTTGTCTTTAACCACTTCCCACCCATTGGATGTCATATGACATTCTGGACTTTCAGTGGTTATACTGGGATGATGCCTGCAGCTACAAGCATCATCCAGGTATAAACATTTTTGCTGGTGATGCTCTTGAGTGTAATAGCAATTCTAGCAGCTAACTAGCCACTGGTTCACTTTTGCATGCAGTGGGAGGAGAGGGATCCCCTCCCGGTGCCTTTCAGTGCCTTTCCAGGCTCTCCCATTCCACCAGGGAGCTTGGGACTGAAACCAGTAGTTCAGTTGGCTTACCATGGAGATGACCAAGGACTGGAACATTCCCAATCATCTCTATGGTCTAAGAAACCTGAAGGGACAATTATTTTGTCACTTCTGGTTTTGCCAGCATGTAAACAAACCATTACTGGCTTGTGAAAGCATCTGATCAAACCAATCTTGGTTTGGTCAGATGCTTTTAAGGGAAGAGGAGGGATCTGGGGTCTAACAGAACTCTGATGTCACAGCTCCAGCTATCACAAGGGATGTTGTCCATCCTTTGTGATACTGATAAAAGTGATAAAAAAATAAAATAGACGGTGTAAAAAAAAAAAAAAACTTTAAAGTGCCCTCACTCGCTGTGTTTGCATGCATAAGTGAACGCATATGTAAGTTCTGCGCGCATATGTAAACAGTGTTCACACCACACGTGAGGTATTGCCTTACAGCAAGAGCAATAATTCTAGCACCAAACCTCCTGTGTAACTCTACACTGGTAACCTGTAAAGGCTTTCAAAGTGTCGCCATTGGAGATTTATAGGTACTGTACTTTGGCACCATTCCACTATTGTTCACAATTTTATTGTGTGACATGTTAGTTATCAATTTACTTGTCGTAATATTTTTTATATTTTACCAAAAAATGGGTATTATATTGTGTGTGTTGTGCACTAAAATTCATTAAAGTGTATTTTTTCCATAAATTTTACATTAAAAAAAATGCATAAATATCATGTAACATAAAAAATTGAAACATCCACCAATTTATTCTCTACAGCCTCTGTTAAAAATACATATCATGTTTGGGGGTTCTAAGTAATTTTCTAGCAAAAAAAAAATGTTTTGTACACATAGGAGAGAAATGTCAGAATTGGCCCAGTAGGGACGTAGTTCATTTATGGACTCTGTCTTCAAAGAAGAATTACAAAACAACGCAACACTTATACATTTCACTGGTTAAATATCATACATCAAACAATTGGTGGGTACCATCTGTAAAAGCACAGGGATCACACCTGTCTACTGACTTATGAATGTTACGGATATCACGTCTACTGACTTATGAATGTTAGGGTTATCACTGATTTAAAGCATTAATAAAATGAACTTTAAGAATTGAATCAAAAGTTACTGAGCCTATCCCGTAACTTACGAGCTATTAAGTATCTGGAACTTTTCCCCCTTCTGAAAACTTAGGTCATCTTCCGTTCTTGCTTCGTAGTCATAAAGCGCCACAAAAAGCGTTACTCCTAAGGGGACAGAGCAAATCACACATTAAGTGGTGGTACATTAACTCACATGTTAAAGAACTCTGGCACAAATCAGACAGCACAGCCACAAAACAAGCCAAACTGATCGAATCCATATGCTTCAGTTTATAGAGGTCTTTGCCAGTTTTTGAGAAGTCATGTAATGAAATTAATTATTTTTTTTTATAGATGGGGATTTTTTAGTGTGGAGAGCTCGGAATGTTTGACCACAGTACTTTGGAGAAAATGAGACTTTGGCTATTTTTTAGTGTGTTAATTTGCTTAACATTTGATTGAAGACAACTGTATCATACTGAAACCATTTCAATTTTGGCTTATTCTGAATGTCCTGGTCAATGTCATGCTTTGGCAGCATAAAGGTATGTGAATATTCTAGAAAACAAAAGGCCTCACGTATAAAATGTGGGTGTAAAGAAAATGGACGTGTTGACCACAGGAAAGAATTACCGTAGATTTTTATTTTATTATCTGAACTTGGAAAATAACTGGTTCCAAAGGAAACACTTCCATTTAATTGTCATCCACCTTTTATACATAAATCTTTTTTTACAAGATTTCATCCAACCCCTGTCCCTCTTTACAGTGTTTTTACAATTAGAGGTTAGCATGGCACGTGCTTTAAACTGACGGATAGTAAGCCATTTACCAAAAGGAATACTCATCTTTCTATGAAAGAGAACATACAGGTTGCAAATAAAGCAGTAAAAGTACCAAAATATGGGGTGGGGGGCAGACACTAATTATATAGCAGGGGTCGCTGTTACTCTGATTGGTGTTGGGTTCTCCCCCAGTACTTGAAGTGGTATGAGTAGGTTTTAGACATACATTGCTTCAGAATGGGAGCACACAGCACAGGGAGACAATGGTCTCCTGTATAGTCTCACTCACTGAACTTTATTGAAATTAGGGTTAAAAAAATCCATGAGATATAGCCTTCTTATGTGTTTCAGCCATACATGGCCCTAATTATAGCTATGCTAGAGCCATATCTGTCTGAAATGCATCAGAAGTGTTATATCTCATGGATTTTTTTACCTTTTTCCATAAAGTTCAATTACTGCAGTCCTTGATTGAGTGCCGTCTTACTACGCAGTTGTACTTTGATGGCTTAACAGGAGCTTCAGCTGCAACACCAAATCTGTTCACAGCCTGCATAGGTTATTTGGGTCTGAGCGCTGGGAGTTTGTTTTTTATATAGGGTCAGCAAAAACAATCTTCAAAAAAGGATTAGTATCACCACATGCGATGAAAGATAAGCTAACAGATTTTAACTTTTTAGTTATTGGGTTTACATACACTTTAATAATAGTATTCAACATCAACCTATCAACATTCTCTCTACTAAATGTAGGCCAAGGATAAAGAAAATATGTTATTAGTTGCTAAACCTAACCCTTTCACATCCAAACGGACAGTCAGGGCAAAAGTAGCTCTGAGAGGACATTTTAAACATCCTTGGTTGAAAGGCACTCATTGCTGTGATCGCGCTGTCATGAGTCAGTGTAGATCACAGGTAACGTCTAAAAAAGCCAATCAGAGTAGCTCAGTGCCTTGCGATTGCTGTTTACCAATCACAGCAATTACAAATTGTAAACACTGGCTGTGAACATGAGCCAGCGCTCCCCTACCTCTCACAATGGAAAACAATCATTCCCAAGTTAGTGTGACAATAACATATGACTCGAATCAAGCTTTTGTTGAACATTTTTATTTTTTTTTTCAGAAACCACACTATATTATAAATTGTATGTTATCTAGATTAAAGCAGAATTCATTTGTTTACTGAATTGTGTAGCATCAGAAAAATGCTTTGTCTCTTCCAATAACTGCTTTGAAACATCTGTGCACATGTGGACATTTTTCCTTGGAATCTATCTACAGGCATCCATTACAGGGCAAAAGTTGCTCTGAGAGGACTTTTTAACATCCTCGGTTGAAAGGCACTCATTGCTGTGATCGCGCTGTCATGAGTCAGTGTAGATCACAGGTAACGTCTAAAAAAGCCAATCAGAGTAGCTCAGTGCCTTGCGATTGCTGTTTACCAATCACAGCAATTACAAATTGTAAACACTGGCTGTGAACATGAGCCAGCGCTCCCCTACCTCTCACAATGGCTGCCGACAACTTATACACTTTGCCATTTCAATCCCTTAAACACAATTCTGAAACAGGTTCAGAATATTTGGAACATCATGCGTATAATAAAGCTCCATTCTTCAGACCTGCCCAGTGACTCTTTGGTTCATCAAGCATGAACCAGCCTGGTAGCAGATCATATGAGAAGATGTTTTTATGGGCGCTCTCTGTCTTTTATCCAGAGCGTGGACTGGAGAAGGTAAAGGATTTTTGTTCATGTATACACTACAACGGTAAAAAAGCTGCAGTAATTGACAGTATCTATGCTAGTTCTCAGCACTGTCTTCTGTAACTGTTCTTTACATGTTCAAGTCCAATCATTGCTAGTCTAAGAGAAGCTCAGTGAGGGTTGTAGTTCTAGAGTCTGGAAGTCTATTGATGAGGGATATTTATTTAATGTTTTATAAAAGGAAGTTGTAAAAAATGGATTTTCACTTGCATACAAAAAATAAAGCTCTGTCTTACAAAAAAATTATATAATATTATTTTGGGTAGAGTGTTGGAAGACCAAGAAACTGTCAGTGAAGATATCACAGCACTAAAAACTTAAAAATGGCCTTGAAGGGTAGGGGGTGTTACACGCTGGTACTGTGGTGGTTAAGAATTAGCCGATTTTACTGAATACGGCTGATTGTTCCAGCAGACCATGCTCATCTATTAAAAAAAAACAAAAAAAAAACCCCATCACTCATAAAAACATGGATGAATGGAAGAGCCACAGTTCTACTTTTTAAACTGACATCAGGGATCCTGGCAACATGATAGGGCTGGTGAAATTAGGATATTTATCTATTACTGCATGGCGGGGTTTACAAACAGAATTTCAACTTTAAAAGATTATACAAAAAACAATCTAGATGAAAATCTTCCATATGGAGCTATCCATCACAAGCCTACCCAAAGGATCATGTGCACAGATATATGGAAAACAATCATTCCCAAGTTAGTGTGACAATAACATATGACTGGAATCAAGTTTTTGTTGAACATTTTTATTTTTTTTTCAGAAACCACACTATATTATAAATTGTATGTTATCTAGATTAAAGCAGAATTCATTTGTTTACTGAATTGTGTAGCATCAGAAAAATGCTTTGTCTCTTCCAATAACTGCTTTGAAACATCTGTGCACATGTGGACATTTTTTCCTTGGAATCTATCTACAGGCATCCATTACAAACCGGCTATCCTCTTCAGTGATAGCACAGACTACACACCATCACATTGTTTGTCCCAATTAAAAAATGAACTGAACTATATCCACCTTTTTTGCTGCTGAAGAAAAACCAAATTGGCAGGAGAGAGGTAAAACACTGCACTAGTCTTCTTGAAGTGTGCACATCAGGGGCGGACTGACCATTTGGAAACTCGGGCACTGCCCGAGGGCCCGGGGTCAGTAGGGGGCCCCATGAGATGCCCCTGGTACCTTTTTCATAGGCTTTTTTGAGTTTGGGCAAGGACACAGGGGCCCCATGATCCCCTATTGCCTGGGGGCCCCATGAGTTGTCAGTCCGTACCCTGCTGCACATACACCACTAAAGCTCAATGAAACAGTTTGCTCTGCTGCTCATCATATTTCCACATACAGGACTTTGACTTTGCTTCATGATAGACCATCCCAGGATCCAACAGTGAAAATCCCAACACATATCACTGTTCCAAAAGCATCCTGTATCCTCCTCTGTCCCATGTAGTCAGTGGTGTGCTCAATCACAAGAGTCCAATTGCTCTCCACTGCACACTGCAATCAAATGAAGGGGCAGCATGCCAATAACATCTTGCTCCAATTTATTTGGATTTATTGATCCACTGACAGCGCACAGTTGTGCAAGAAGCCATGCTGCTAACGCATTTCACCTGAACAGGGCTTAATCATAGAGATACACCCCTATAGCACTGTGACAGGCCACACATTCTGCAATTTTCTTTCTTTCAACCACAGGTTAACCTCTTGCCGTCCGCCTGCTGTTTATAAACGGCAGGGCGGTGGCAGTCCAGGGTCGGGTTGCCACCGCGATCCGGTGCCCGCTGTGTCCTCCGGACACAGTGAAACACCGATCGTCGGACGGGACCTCTGTACGAGGTCCCGATCATGTGATCACTGATTGGCGAATCAGTGATCACATGCAAAGTAGTAAGCAAGATGTCACTTGTGACATCATTGCTTACTATGTGTGAAATCTGTGAATGATCACAGAGGTCACATGGTACAAGGCTATTCACAACAGCTTTGTACCGTGTGACAAGCTGTGACCACTCCCAGCTCACTCAGTAATTCTCAATGACTGCAAGAATGCAGTCAGAGAGAAAGAGAAATGATTGCTTTTACATCCTACATGGGTGTAAAGCAATCAGTGTAAAAAAAAAAAATAAAAAATCTTCATCACCCCCCACAAGTAGTACAGTGTCACCATGGTGACACTGTACTGCTAGGGTGACAGTATGTAGAAAAAAAAATTAAAATAAAAAATAATAATATAAAAAAATAAAATAAAATGTAAAAAAAAAATGTTTAAAAATTATAATTTTTGGTTATAAACTAATTTGGATTTTTTTTTTTTTACTAAAAAAATAACGGAATAAATTTTGGCCAAGAGATTTATGATGAAATATTATTTATTTGCAAAATTTTATTAAAAAAAACACTTTTTTTCAAAATTTTTGGACTTTTTCATTTACATAGTAAAAAAAAATAAAAATCCCAGCGGTGAATAAATACCACCAAAATAAAGCTTTATCTGTCTCAAAAAAATGGTAAAAAATTCATATGGGTACAGTATTGCATGACCGCGCAATTGTCATTCAAAGTGTGATAGCGCTGAAAGCTAAAAATTGCCCTGGACAGGAAGGGGTAAAAGTGTCTGGACAGGAAGTGGTTAAAGGAAATAAAGTTACTTGATTCCTACATCCCTCCCGCTGTGCTATTCTATTCTGACAGCGGGTGGTTTCCCAGCCATCAGAATACAATGATCCCTGCTGGCAGCTATAGCTGTTGGCAGTGATGAAAAAAAAGACCCAACAGGCTAGTTGTACGATGGATATATTGACTTCAGTACAACCAGCCTGCCCACAGATGGATCGAAATGCAGATTGTTCCTGCTGAAATGGCCTATTTTTGATCTGTCTATGGCCGGCTGAAGCCCTGTTTGGGTGAAGTGCGTTAGAGCATGGCTTCTGGCGGGAGTGTTTCTGTGTGCTGTCAGTGGATCAAATACACTTGGAGCAAGTTGATATTGGAGTGTTGCCTCTTTTATTTGATCGTCTGGTTCCAATAGGTAACGTTTACTATACTCCAAAATAGCCACAGATATCTGTAGCTATACTCTATGTGGAAAACTATGGGGTTGATTTACTAAAGGCAAATAGGCTGTGCACTGCAAGTGCACTTGGAAGAGCACTGAAAGTGCAGTTTCTCTAGATCTGAGGGGAACATGAAGGGAAAATAAAAAAAACTGTATTTTTGCTTGCACATCTTTGCACATCTTGCACATCATTGCCTCTTTTCAGAGCTTCCTCTTGGATCTAAAGCAACTGCATTTGCAGTGCACTTGCAGTGCACAGTATATTTACCTTTAGTAAATCAACCCGTGTGCAATTTTTAAATAATGGTAATGTAGTTACACTGATTTCAAATAATGATAATGTAATCTCCATAAAAAGCAATGGAAAACAGCAGCTTCTGCCCCACTAGAATATTAATACCTGAGACCTGAGAGACCTATCCCAGTTAGATGTGCAAGTAATATGTACACTGTTCAAAAAAATTAAAGGTACACTTTGAAAACACATCAGATCTCAATGGGGAAAAATATCATCCTGGATAGCTATACTGATATGGACTGAGTAAAGTTTTAGGAATGTAAAGATGCTGCATGATTTGATGGAAATGAAAATGATCAACCTACAGAGGACTGAGTTCAAAGAAACCCCAAAAATCAAAGTGAGAAAAATGATGCAGCAGGCTAGTTCAATTTGCTGAAATTTCATTGCAGCAACTCAAAATGGTACTTAGTTGTTTGTATGTATACATGCCTGACAATGTCGGGGCATGCTCCTAATGAGACCACAGATGGTGTCCTGGGGTATTTCCTCCCAAATCTGGACCAGGGCATCACTGAGCTCCTGGACAATCTGATGAGCAACCTGGAGGCGTCGGATGGACCGAAACCTGATATCCCAGAGGTGTTCTATTGAATTTAGGTCAGGTGAGTTGGGGGCCATTCAATGGTATCAATTCCTTCATCCTCCAGGAACTGCCTGTATAATCTCGCCACATGAGGCCGGGCATTGTCGTGCACCAGGAGGAACCCAGGACCCACTGCACCAGCGTAGGGTCAGATAATGGATCCAAGGATTTCATCCTGATACCTAATGGCAGTCAGGGAGCCATTGTCTAGCCTGTAGTGATCTGTGCATCCCTCCATAGATATGCCTACCCAGACCATCACTGACCCACCACCAAAATGATCATGCTGAATTATGTTACAGGCAGCATAACGTTCTCCACGGCTTCTCCAGACCCTTTCACGTCTGTCACATATGCTCAGGGTAAACCTGCTCTCATCTGGGAAAAGCACAGGGCACCAGTGGCGGACCTGCCAATTCTGATGTTCAATGGCAAATGCCAATCAAGCTCCATGGTGACGGGCAGTGAGCCCATGGCCCACTAGAGGACGTCAGGCCCTCAGGCCACCCTCATGAAATCTGTTTCTGATTATTTGGTCAGAGACATTCACACCAGTGGCCTGATGCAGGTCATTTTGTAGGGCTCTGGCAGTGGTCATCCTGTTTCTTCTTGCACAAAGGAGCAGATGCCAGCCCTGCTGATGGGTTAAGGACCTTCTACGGCCCTGTCCAGCTCTCCTAGAGTAATTGCCTGTCTCCTGGAATCTCTTCCATGCTCTTGAGACTGTGCTAGGAGACACAACAAACCGTATTGATGTGCCATCTTGGAGGAGTTGGACTGCCTGTGCAACCTTTGTAGTGTCCACGTATCGCCTTATGCTACCAGTAGTGGCACTGACCCTAGCCAAATGCAAAACTAGTGAAAAACAGTCGGAAAAGATGAGTAGGGAAAAAATGTCAGAGGCCTCCACCTGTAAAACCATTCCTGTTTTGGGGGGCGTCTCATTGTTGCCTATCTAGTGTTGTTAATTTAGTTAACACTAAAGAAGCTGAAACTGATTAACAACCCCCTCTGCTACTTAACTGACCAGATCAATATCCCAGGAGTTTCATTGACTTAATGCTATACTCTGATTAAAAAGTATTCCTTTAATTTTTTTGAGCAGTGTATATCAGATTTTTGACAGGAATATATGAATGACATTGCACAGTTACACATCTTGTTGGTCTTACCTGTTCCACCTCTTGTACGTAATGTTCCGGTGTGTGATGAAGAATTCACGCCTCCAAAGACTGTAAGTCCCTGCCCTGCATTCCCATGGAAGTTGTTGTAGTTAGGAATGGTGGTCACAGTGAAGCTAGGGTAGTGCTGTGGGGTGGGGTCTGTCCCATAGCGATATCCTAAGCTTTGTGTTAAACTGTTATCTCTTTCATCTGTCAGTTTGGTTGCTTCTTTATCCTTGCATTGCACACAGCCCATTATCTATATCCCTGAAATCAGAGAGAAACACAAAAATTAGACACGAGGATACAAATTCACTCTTTCGACAATTTTCTGTAAATGGGAGTCAATGAACCTCACCATGTTTATAGTGTCTTAAGGTGTTACCAAACCCACAACAGTGAAATCAGTTTGTGGAGTCTAAGGGTTTAATCCTCCGCATTATGTAAAAAGGATGTTTGATCCTCTCTTCTTTGATCCTTTCCTACTGTTGTCCCCAATCAATCTCCTGATGCCATGGGGAGCAAGCTGCACATGCTTAGTATGGTGTGTATTGCTATAGAGTTTTTTATTTCTTGGAACGGTGCATGTGATTAGCACGGAGCCAATCAGCACTGTCCAGACAGAGGGGCAGGGATCCTGCAGCCTTATAGGACAATCAGGGCAGACGGAAAACTCCTCCTACAAGCTTCAACCAATGCTCTGCTGGACACTGATAGAAGTCACATAACTGCTCTAACTGCTGATGAAAAAAGGTATTTAGGTCCTGGGTTTAGTAACACTTTAAATGCTGGTTTTATGATATGAAGCTATGAATAATCCTTGTATTTACTAACTAGTCTTTGTCCATACTACGATGGGTAGAAACTAGGTCTCAGGAAACTTATAGACCTACTTTGCAAAGCAGTGTCCTAAGAAATAATGTTTTCATGCAATCTTCTGCTCCGTGCTTTTTCGTGGCTTTGAACATGTATGAAGAACCAGTATACACCTCAAGGCTCCATTCACACTTGTGCAACTTGTCATACGACATTGGGCACTAAAGTTGCATGAGAAGTTGTAACCCATGTTTTTCAATGACAACCTTTCAAAATTGTATGACTTAAAATTGAAGCGACTTCAATGTAATTCATGCAATACTTTGGTAAACTTTCATGCAACTTGAGTGCCACAGACTGCAATGTAAACCCTCAAAAGTCGTATGAAAGTTGCATCTGAATGTTATATATGCAACTGTTGTCCATTATCATTACTGAAAGCCAAAGTCATATTCAAGTTGCACCCTTTCAAAGTTGCGTCAAAGTTGCATCAAAGTTGTGTAAAAATTGCATCAAAGTTGCACTCCAAAGTCGTGCAACTTTGGAGTCATACAAATGTGAATGGAGCGTAAGTCTAGGTTCAAACTGTGATCTGGGCAGCGGCTTGACTCAGCTGTTGTATTTGACAGTTGATAGGCGGGATCAGGATGTCAAGCATGTTGGGTTGCTATCCACCTGTCAGATGGCGTGATTGAACATGGAGATCAAAATTTTGCTGACCCAAGGTGTAGAAGAATAGACAAATAGGTTGCCCAGTCACCTGTGTTTAGAATTTACACAGTTGATGAGGTCTATTTGGTCTTTGAAGTATCAAGTGGCATGGATCTATGCCTTGGTGAACACAGCACTACTTAAGGCCTGGTTCAAGCTAGTGAGATTTCAGATGCAACTTCAGTCACACAAAATCACATAACAGTAGAAATCACATTATTTTCAATAGTGCCTAGTCACATCAATGCAGTGCAGAATGTTTTTTGGAAAAGTTACAGGGGCTACTTTGGTACAGTTGCAGCGCAACTTTGGCCCGATAGACTTCAATGGAAGTCTGTTCACAGAAAATGCAGTGGATGGAATGGTGTCCCCACATTTTGTATAAGTGGGAGCAATAGTGTCCCATCCTTGGTGTCAGTGGAATGAATAGTGTCGCTTCCTTGGTGAAAGTGGAAGGAATAGTTCCCCATCATTGGTATCAGTGGGCGGAATAGTGCCCCATCATTGGTGTCAGTGGGAGGAATAGTGCTTCATCATTGGTGTCAGTGGGAGGAATAGTGCCCCATCATTGGTGTCAGTGGGAGGAATAGTGCCCCATCATTGGTATCAGTGGGAGGAACAGTTCCCCATCATTGGTATCAGTGGGAGGAATAGTGCCCCATCATTGGTATCAGTGGGAGGAATAGTTCCCCATCATTAGTATCAGTGGGAGGAATAGTGCCCCATCATTGGTATCAGTGGGAGGAATAGTGCCCCATCATTGGTATCAGTGGGAGGAATAGTGCTCCATAATTGGTGTCAGTGGGGGGAATAGTGCCCCATCATTGGTACCAGTGGGAGGAATAGTGCTCCATCATTGGTGTCAGTGGGAGGAATAGTGCCTCATCATTGCTGTCACTGGGAGGAATTTTCCTCATATCAGTGGAAAGAATAGTGCCCCAGGGACCAGATAAAGGCAAGCAGAGGGCCACATCTGGCCTGCGGGCCGCAGTTTGGAGACCCCTGCTGTGGGCTACTGTTCAAATTGTCCTATAGAAAAAATCTTTGGACACACATAATGGGTTATAACCACCCTCTCTCTCTGCTGTCTATAAAAGAGAACAAGACATTCCTAATCCAGGGCTCCATAATTCCTAAAGTTAAACCACAGAGATGTGTTCAGTCTTTTTGGACCATACCCGTCACCATTATCAGCTTAAGAGGAGACCTAAAGCGTGAATCCTGCACAGCAAGTTTTATTGAATCAGGAACCATGAAAAAAGTACAGCACATTAGTATTTCTTCTCCTTCTAGTCCTAAAAAGGACAAGCATTTTCCATTTCTTAAACAATGAGTCCAGTGGTCGGCAATATTTGAGGTATAGTCTGGTGGGCTGAATCCCCTGCTACCCGTTTGTATCTCCTCAGGACTGCCATAGTTTCCAGCTCTGCTACCATTTCCTGGTAGTCTATGACTATGCAGTTCACTATGGACTGAACACCACTTTACAAACATTATGAACGGGTAAACAGTACAAACAAGAGGAAATGACAGTGTTAGCAGTGAATGCTGTACAGCCTCATTTAGACTATTTCCACTTTAATGCATTATTTTCCCAAATGGAAAACTGCGTTTTCATTCTAAACATTGATTTGAATCATCTCTTCATAATAAAAATAAAAGATATAATATGCCTTGATAAACACTCATGAGTATGCACTGTACTGGTTGTGTTTCCACTGATTTTCCACAGATAACATTTAGTTACACAGATGAATGATCTTTCACACAACATGGAGAAAGAGAATCATATTAGTAAGCTGTTGTGTTTTCCTCACATCCGCCCACTGCCTCAGTCCTAATATTTCCATATCTGCCAAATGAAAAGCAGCCAAAAAAAGTGAGATGTGTCTACAGGAGATGCATTGCCACGCTGCACACATGCACTGTAATGAATGTGGGATGAGGAAAGAGAATGTTCTGTACAGATCATGTTATTTTTTTTTTTTTTGGTAGAATACATCACATGCTGCCTTGTCCTTAGCCTGTGGATACACTTCAGAAATGTACTACAGACACAGAAAATAAAAACTCAAAGCTAATATCTGCAGTCCATCTCACATAAACATGTCTTATTAACCGCTTGCCCGCCACCCTATAGTAGAACTATTGCTACAGGGCGGCAGGGCTGCGCAAAATCACGTACATATATACGTGATTTGCATTTCCAGGTAGGGAGCTTGCGTCGCCCTACCCATGCTGCCATTGGTGGCTATGGATGTCAATCACCAGGTCCCGGCGGGAGATTCTCTGCCGGCACCCGATGATCGCCATGTAAAGCTGACAGTGGACAGACCTGTGTGTAAACAACACAGGTCTCTCTCCTGCCAGCAAGGACATGCTGCTTTGTATTTCTCTGCACAGCAGAGAAAAACAAAGCAGCATGTCTCCGTAGTAAAACAGAGCACATAGTAAAACACACACAGTGCACAGTTAACCCTGTGAGTGCCCAAAAGTTAACCCCTTCCTGCCCAGCGTCATTAGTACAGTGTCAGTGCTTTTTATTAGCACTGATCACTGTATTAGTGTCACTGGAGATGTCAGTGGCAGTTAGTCAGTTCCCACCCAGTGTCAGAATGCCCGCAGCAGACCCACAATACGTCACTGATCGCTGCCATTACTAATATATATATATATATATATATATATATATATATATATATATATATATAAAGTAAACTAACTAATTTATACATATTGGGATTTTATTTTTAGCAAAGACGTAGCAGAATACATTTTGGACTAAATTTATGATGAAATTTGATTTTTTCCATTTTTTTATTGGATATGTTTTATAGTAAAAAGTCAAAAATATATATATTTTTTTCAAACCTGTCAGTCGTTTTTGTTTACAGCGCAAAAAATAAAAAACGTGATCAAATGCCATTGAAAGAAAACTCTGTTTGTGGGAAAAAAAGGACATCAATTTAATTTATGTACAGCTTTGCATGACTGCGCAATTGTCAGTTAAAGTAATCCAGCGCTGTATCGCAAAAAATGGCCTGGTCAGAAAGGGGGGTAAATCCTCTGGAGGGCAGGTGGTTAATATGTATTTATACAGACACTGAAAACTGTTTGTGTTCTCTTTACTGTATGTGCTATATAGGCCTCATGCACACTTGACAAAACACTGCTTTTACAGGCATTTGAGCTTTTTTTTCTGCCTCTAAACACCCCTCCGTGTTAACCTATGTGTCCATGTCAGTGGTGTATTTAGGTTTTGTGCTGCCCTAGACAGCACAAAAATCATCTGCCCCCACGGACACAAATCAACACCATCCCTCCCCCTTTCCTCTTCCTGCAGACAGAGCCTGACATTGACCAACAACACTCCTGCCCCCCACCTGGGAGAGCCTTTTACTAAATTCCCCCCCCGGCGATAGAGAGAAAGAAGACACTCATCTTCACAGCTCCGGACATCCCCGAGAACGAAAGCCAGGGTCTACATACACCATCAAGTAGCCTGCGGCATCTCTTGGATCCCACCTGGTTCCCATGGCATGGGTGTCCCTTCTTTCATCCCTTCTTCCAGGGGAGGTGCTGCCCCCCTGAAAAATGCCGCCCTAGGCAGGTGTCTAGTGGTAAATACACCTCTGGTCCATGCACACATAGGAGTTTAGAAGCAGGGGCATTTAGAGGTAGAAAAAAAAACATCACTTGTGCATTCAGAACAGGAGCTTTTGAGCATAAAAAAATGTTCAAAAGTGCCTAAAAATGCGTTAATGCTAGGCGTGTTCCCATGTTAAATCTAATCACCTTCTAAGAGCCCCTATGTTCTGAGATCCCCTATGGTTATTACAACCAGGAAATCTTAAACACACCTATTAGAGACAATGAGGTTGATATACTAAAGGAAACGAGCATGTTAGTATTGCAAAGTGAAATTTCACTTAGGTTCATGAAAGAAGCTAAGCTGTGTTGACTTTAATCACCAGTCAAGTCCTTGCAAAAATCTTGTGGTTTTAAAATTTTCCTTGCACCTGATTGGGTATTATCTGCAAGGAAAATTTTCACTTAGCTTCACCTCATTCACTTAGTTTAATGAAAATTCACTTAGAAATATGACAATTTGCTTTGAAATGTGAATACGGTTTACTTCTTTAGTTAATCAACACAAAAACGCTGGCAAACCCAAAACACTGCTGTCAACCTAAAGGTACTCTCAAAACCTTCTTCAATTTGGTTGCAGGAAAATGCAGGAAAAATAATTTAAAATTTAAATTAGGGTAAATTGATTGTAATTGCTTTTCCTTTTCATCTTGCTTTTAATGAGATTTTCAAGAACATAAAATTAAACAGTAGGAAAAAAAAGGGTGACATGTGAGGTTTTGAAGTGCTGTCTGGGGAGGAGCATTCTGATACAAAGATTGTTGCCTCAGGAGACAATTATTTAAATATACCTAGGACCTAATACTCTACATTTTTACAGTAAAGACTTATAGTTCAACTCGATTTCTGTAACTAGCAAGATCTTTCCCTTCTATGCAGACCACTGATAAAAAAATGATACAAGAGAAACAATCAGCTGTATTAATAACATAAACATATTTAAAGATACAGATCACAATAAAGTACATAAAGCGTAACCTGTCCAATGGTCCCTCACCAGCATCTTGTTCTGAGTGCCGGACTTCGGACCTCTTCATTGGCCAGCGTGGAGACCAGGGTATCACTGGAAGCCCCAGGCCCTGTACTAAACATTGGGACCTTGAACTCCCAGTTCCAGGGCACCTGATTGCTGTGATAGCCTCTGACTGGCTATCACAGTGATTGGTGATGCCCGTCCTGTGTTTACTCTTTCTGAATAGAGGAGAGACATACAGTACATTGTCTCTCTCTCTCTCTTTGCAGAGAGAAAAAAACAACTGTTAAAAAAAAATAATAATAATAAAAAATACCTAGATCTAGGTCAGTGTCAGGGTTAGTGTTTGGGTCAAGTAAGGGTAAAAAGTCAATGGCAGGGTCAAAGGTCAGGGTCAGGGTCGGTATTTTTTTAGGCAGGATTTAAAAAAAAAAAAATTAGTACCTGTGTCAGATAGTATCAGTGTGTTTTAGGTAGCATACATAAAGCTAAATGCACCTTATTGTTTCTAAGCTGCATAAAACAACATATGTGGTATTGCTGCAATTGTCAGCAGCAATAGAATTTATTTTGGGTTTTTCTTTGGTGGTGGGTTTTGGTAGTAGTAAGAAATATACAGCTGAATTTAAAAAAATGATTTTTTTTTTTTACTATTTTGGGACAGTTTTCTTTTGATAATAATAAAAAAAATCAGGAGATATCCATTACCATTTACCATGAAATAAAAGCCTGATTTGTCCTGAAAAAAAAATGCATAATTCACCTGGATGCACAAAGTAGTTGTTATCATATGTACAACTTTACTAACACATGTTAAAGTTGCAAAATTGTGCTTGGGCATTAACAATTATTTTTTTTCCCTTAGGCGGGAAGGGGTTAAGCAAGGCTGCCATACTAGAGTTAAAGTAAGCATTTCATTTAAGAAGCACATGTGCTAGTAGCTAGCTTTACAGCCCCAGGGTCATCTGTCTGGCTTCTGTCTAAACTGACTTTACTATGTGTCAGTATGCATGCGGGTTAGGGACCTTAGATTGTATGTTCCATGAGTGTACAATATATGTAAAGCACTAGTAAATTGTTGGCACAATATAAATATCTGTATGCAAATATGCACTAAAATATAAAGAAAGGCTTATGAAATAAAAATTATAATACACTAAATATTGACATTATATGTATTAATCACATGCAAATTAATGGTGGTAACTTCTACAGCATGAAAAAATTCATGTCAGTTTATTATCACTTGCTATTACAAAGAATTATGTTTCTGGAGCTACTAATGCCTGAAATATTTGCTTTGCCATAAAAAAAAATTAAAATGATTTTTCAGCAGACAGAAGTAGAGAAGTGTCAAGGAGTTCAGTAGTAGTAGAAAAGTGCAAGTCCCAGAGCAACTGGTAGGCGCAGTACCAAATCCAGAGGCAGATGCATAGCCGGACTGGCAAGAGGTTTGAGGCAGGCAGCAAACAAAAGCATGGTCAGACAAGCTAGGGTGTCGAGGCAAGCGGCAGACAGAAGTTTAATCCAAAGTACTGGCCAAGGTCAGAATCCAGCAAACAAATATAAACCCAGTGGTTAAGGTGACATTGACAAACTGAACCTCTTGATCAAGCACTGGATGGATGGAAGTTCATAGTTCCCTATGGTAATAAGGTTCAGGTGCCAGGTGCAGTGTGGACTTGCTAATACCAGATGGTGAAAGCTCAAGACTGGCTAAAGAAAGACCCAAGGATTGAGGTAACAGGATAGCGTAAACCTGGAAGCTTTCCTGAGCTTGAGCTATGTTGGTACATCCCACTATAATAGGAGATAAGTAAGCCTAAATGCTGGATAGAGAGGTTAGAAAAAGGGAGGGGAGGGATCAGTGTGTGAACCACTGTTTGGCCAATCTTATCTCTAAATTAACTTTCTTAAACCGGCCATAGATGGATCGAATTGTGGCCAGTTCAGCAGGGACTGGCCAAGATTCGATCCATCTTAGGGCAGGCTGAATGTACCAAAGTCAATCCATCGATCGACTTAAGTACAACCAGCCTGTTGGATTTTTTGCATGCGATTACTGCCCACGGGTTTTAGTCACTATTGGTAATCAGTGTATTCTGCAGCCTGGGAAGGCTCCCCCCCACCGGCAAAATACAACAGAGCTGCAGGAGGCATTCCCCCATCAACATTGACTGTGTTGAAGACGGAATCAAGTGATATTTTTTCTTTCCTCCCACCCATGGTGGAAGAAGCAGTTTTAATTATATATGAAGCAGTATTTGGGCTAAACTACATCAACAGGTCTTTAAGTCATACAATAGTTTGTGAATATATATATATATATATATATATATATATATATATATAAAACTTTTTATATTCCACGCTTAATTACATCTTTAAGTTCTAAACCTTCAGTTGACCTTTTTTCTAACCTATTTCCTAAAACCATCTTTAAAATGGCAGGTCCTCTTAATGAAAATATTCTGCTTCAGTTGAAGAAGAGTGTGTGTTATCTAGATATAATGAAAGCCATTGTTTCAGATGTAAAAAGAATTCACCAGATCATCTACTTATAACAATTCACTGTCTTGAACATAAAAATTCCCAGACAGAGAGGAATCAGGATTATACCAGTGACCTTATGACTGGGTCATCTTCCAAAGAAGCGACCACAACAGTAAATCAAGAAGACATCAGTTAGTGCTGCTTCCCTGTCTGTCTCCTTGTTTTAATGCTCTCAGTTAGGGGCCTATTTAAATTTCTTCTAGTATTTTTCCCCAA